ACAGACTTTGGTGCACAGAAGCGCCTATCCTATATATACATATATACATATATATATAGATATATATGTATATATACACAACAAGGCACGTATAGTGAGCTCTTCATCCTGGTATTACAGAGGAGGCGTCACTGAGCATATTTATTGGGTACTCCTCAAGAAGGTTGGTCTCACCCAATCTTAGACATCTAAAACAGAGACATTTATAATAATAAGTTACTCCCTCCAGTCAATGGAAAAAAACAAGGCGTGGCTCATCTATCACTTAGCCATCACCTTCAGAAGAGGAGTAATCACGCTCTGAAGTGTGTCTTTTTTTCTCCCACTTGGGAGATAACTCCACTTTGGCCAAAGGATCCCTTCAGAGTTTTCTTCCTCTGCATTCCCTTGGATTCGATGAAAAATCTGGCCTGGTCATATAGAGACAGGTTTCTCCACAGTTGTTTCAGAAGTTTGTTTAGGGTCAGGAGAGAGACTTGGACAAGAGACTAATGGTTATGAGTATTATTGCCTTGTGGAATAGGAGAGTTTCAGCTGGTATGAGATGAGATCACAGCTCCTAGCACCCTTGCTGCCATTCTGAAAGAGAATCAGTACTAGCGCATGTCCTGCTGTTTCCTCTGGCTCAAGCCTAATGAAATGTGCACTAAGGTTTATTAAACTGATCCTTCCATCTGTTGCTTTTAAGATCTGTTTTTGCAGTTCTGATGGAGTGCTTCAAAGAAGGGCTACAGTTTCACTGGCATCATTATTTTTTTATTAAGTTCGCCCACATCATGCAGTAATTGGGTTTCCTGATTTGGAATCCTGAAGGTTCTCCATATTCTTTCAACCTATCCATCATATTAATGTCTGTACCAACACATCTTCTCCAGCCACTGGCACACATCATTATGACCCTGAACTTCAGCCCTAGGCACGTCCCCTTCTATCCCAATCCAGTTATCCTGGCACAGATGGATTTTGCAGCTATTCTAACTACCCAGTCAGTTAGAAAAGATCTAATGTTGGCAGCAACGAGAATTTTGTACATCCCACTTTTTGTCCCCAAACTGGAGAAAGCACACTAAACTACCCTTGCTGGCTGGGAGGATGACATCCTGAAAACAGGATGCTGCTATGCACATTGCTCTGCATAAGCAGTGGGACCAGCCCAAAGTGAACAGCTTCCAGTTTGGGTAATTTTTGTAATCAGAGTGATGAGCTCTATACAGTTATCCATGCTGGAAACATAAACATGTATACACAAAGCACTGACAAGATTATTTTTCAACACATCAAGCACCTTGTCTAAAAGAAAGCCATAATGCTTTACTCACATGAAGCCAGGCCTGGAAACATATTTATTTAGGCCAGACATTTTAAATCCCATTTCTGTGCACATATTGTGTGGTGTTTTCTTTCTTTTCTTTTCTTTTCTTTTCTTTTCTTTTCTTTTCTTTTCTTTTCTTTTCTTTTCTTTTCTTTTCTTTTCTTTTCTTTTCTTTTCTTTTCTTCTCTTCTTGCAGTGGGGGGGGGTCTGTGGTTGTTGCTGTTGTTGTTTTTAAAGTGCATAAATGTTCAAATTTACATTAAAACTTTTAAACCACTTAGCTTAATGCTTAACTTAATTACTTTAATGCTTTCTTTATTCACTTTGGGTTTTGCTCTTGAAGCAGATATCTTGGTATGTGAAACGTCTTTTCTTGTGTTTTTTGAAGAGATTTAGATAAACCTGAGACTGAGCATGAAGAGCCAGGACAGATTAAATTGGTGTCTGTTAGATCTTCAATAAAGGCAACAACGTTCTGGAGCATCTTAGTCCTGAAGGCCAAACTGTGACCAAGGAAATGCCCAGCAGGAAGCAAAAACAGACACATTCATAAACAGCACAGTGAATTCCCCTTCACATACCTTGTTCTCTCAGCCCAAAGCAACGACAAACTATCTCGTCTTTGGCACTGGAAAATGAGAGCGGTGCACTTCTTCAGAAACTGACTTCGAACACTGAATTCTTAACCCTTTCCACATAACTCACTCCAACCTTATTCTCAAGGCATAATCTTAGACACACATCTTCACAATCAAAATTGCAATTGTTTTACATTGTTGAGAAATAGGCAAATGGAGACAACATTCCTAACAGGTAAAATTCAGTGCCATATTTGGAAGAAAAAAGGATTAATCTATTACTAGTAGAATTTTCACCCACTACTTACTGTTTTGTTCCTGTTTTCCTCTCAAGGCCACTTCATTGTGGGATCAAAGAAGTCATGCTAAGTCTGGCACAGCTCAAATTTCAGCTAGAAACCCATAGGAACAGCACTTTATAGGTAAAGTGCAGAATCAAAGAGAGAGCATAAGAAACTGATAGCCTTATTTTGATATTTAACTGATCATGGTAAAATATACACCGAATACTGATGGGGTGAACTCTGATGATAGAATAGCCTGAAATGCCAGCAGCCCATCCTAGTGCAAGAGCAGATTTTTGGGAAGAGCTGTCCTTTCTTGAAATTTAAGGTTTTTTGAGCATATGAAGTTATCTCTATAAATCATGTTGGAAATATGTTCAAAATCTGCCATACTTGTGAGTAATTCTAGTTTTACACTGCTATAGATATATCAGTACTGCTTATTTTTAAGGATAAAGTATAATTATTAAAGACAAAAAATACTCTACACAAAGCCAGTTATGTGTTACATATAATAAATTAGATTAGAAAAGGTCAGATGATAACAAAGCCTAACTATATGCCAAAACTTCCAAATACTCATTCAGCTATTAACTGGGCACTTCACACAGAAAAGCCTTGGCTCTTGGCCATTACATTTGACAGTGCAAACTTGGTAACTCCAAGTGAGTGCTCCTTGAGGGTCAGATGGTTGCTGCTTTGGTTAGCTTTCCACATTTGTCAGACTGCAGACAGAGACCAGAGGCACATGCGTGGCTCCTCTCCACTTCTCCAACATTTGGCAACGCGTAGCTGGCAACCACCTTATGAATCAAATGACTTCTGTCAGACTTTTCAAGAAATGCAGAAACTGGAGATTAGAAAAGGAAGGCAGCCTTTTGTGTACCTTCCTGGTGGTTAGGATCCTTCTTAGAATCAGCCAGAACCTGGCTTTCCAGGAAGTACTCCTTAAAATATTATTTTCCTCTCAACAAACCTCGCCAAAGTAATTCATGCACAGCATTCACAGTAAAATAGAATCTTACCATTAATCACCTCATTTAAAAAGGAAAGTATCCTCCTTATGTGCTTGAGGATTTCGCCTTTGTTGGGGTTAACCCACAGGTCTCCTGTTAGTATTTTCTGCTCAATTAATTCCTTCAAAGGGATTATTGAATCTACACAGATATTGTGTAATCTAGGTTAAATCAGGAAATAGCATAATGAGAAGCAGTTACATGGAGAAGGGAGGTCAAAAAAAGCAGCAACAGGAACTCAGAAAATATGAGGATATAAATAAAAGGACAGGTGCTATCTTCAGTCCTGTAATGTGATTTGGACTCAGTAATTGACCTAAAAATAGAGGAGACTAAAAGAAAACATTCTGAAAAGCACAGTAGAGGCCATAATCTCAGCTGGTGTAATTCAATGTACTTCCAGAGGAATGAGTACAGAAGTGAATCACTACAGCAGAATAATAATAACCTATATATTTATAGAAGAAGTGGCAAAAATAGCACTTGTCAAAAAACATTACTCAAAGCTAAAGCAAAATGCTTATTGAAGTAGACCACATTTTGTGAACAGAGCTGTGATTACTATATTATGATTACACTAAAGGCAGGCGATGCATAGACTCAGTTAATTTTAAATGCAAGTTAAGCAAGAAATACTTGGTAACTATGATACAGATGGTAACAATCCTAAAAAAGAAGGGATCATGTTTATATTTTCCTCCATGACAGTATTTTTGGAGTGACAATGGCTAAGTCAGAACAAATACTTAAGTGGATCCTGCTCAGCTGGGTATATATCTGATCACATTTCAAACCTTGCCAGTTTTGCCTTGGATATAATTATCTCAGGCTCTGGAGAATTACTGAAGGAATTTTACTTATCAGAGGCAACTCGCGATTTTAAAGGAGGGGCATTCTCCATCAGCCTGTGGACAAAAGGAAACCAAAGGCTGAGATTGCCTCAGACAACATAAACCTGACTTTTAGATTTCTTGCTTGGAAATGAGATATTAGATCTCCCATCTTCCCTGTTTCAAAACCACCCTGTTCAGCTCCTGAGAAATTTTACTGCTGAGAAAACTTGAGAGACAGAATGGATCAGGAAATGCCACTTTCCTCTTTGGTTGATTTTTTTTTTTTCACTTGAATAGAAAACTTTCATAAAGTTGGAAAAATTCTGCTCCATGAGGAGTAAACAGGAGGAGAAACATGCTTTCTGGCTGGCATCCTTCAGGCCAACAATATTGCTAAATCTGTGCTTTAATCACTGACATTTTATGCAACCGTCTATAATTAAAAGCAGAGTTTTCACCCAAAATCTCTCTTATGCAAGCAACATATGTTTTGTGCAAGTGAGCTTAACTGTTCCCATGCACTGAAGGAGCAACTTCATTCCTGGAGAGCTGAGACCAGCCTCCTTCCAAGGCTGCTGTGCTCCAGGAAGCTGAGCGCTGCCCTTGCCAGGCTGGTGCGGACGATACCCTGGCTGCTGTAAATCAGCGTAGCACGGTACCTCCCGCACTGATTCAAACCCAGAGACTGTGACTCCTGCACAAGCTGCACCGTCTGACTGCTGAGCCTTCACGCAGTGCCAGGAGAATTGCACCCAGAAGCGGTTTTCACCCACAGTGGCTAAATGCAAAGCCCTATAGTAGCTCCCCAGACGCACTGCTGGGTCATTGCATCCATTTCACACATTCGTAGCTGAGCAGCCTCCCATGAACCATTTCAGAATGGTGCACCTCGGCATAACAGAGGAATGACAACTGGCAGAAAGGGCTCTGTTACTTCTTTCAATAAGGTTAAGGAATAATTCAATAGCACAAAAATCACACTGTTTAATTGAAAGTTTTAATAGCTTTTAAAATGCTAACAGAATGGCACTCCAGCCTTCCCAAAGATCAATGAAAGCCGCATGTGTGTGTTATTTCTTTGAGAACTAGCGCAGTCACGAAGTGTTATGGAAGTGTTAGGGTTATTGGCTTTAAATGGAAGCCAACAAATTATCTAAACCAACAGCTTTGATTCACACTACTTGCTTTGCAGCTGAATAGGCCAACATGAAATAAAACCAGTATATATGCCTCAAGGTTAAAATATAATTTTTCTATGGAGTAGTAAATTAAGACACTTTATTTGAAACTGAGGAATAACAAAAAACCCAAAAAAAAGCCCAGGAAAATTTAAACACTACTTGGACCTGTTTGCAAAACAACAAGAATTTCTCAAAAAGAAAAGAAGGCAACTCTTCCACATCAGTTTGAGCCAACTCTTCTCAAATGCTCAGAAATTCTTGTCTAAGAGACAAGAATTGGCACCAACTTCAATTCCGTGCTGCAACATCACAAAACACAGTTTAGTAGGATAATATAGCTCTTCTTGTTCTCTTAAGATTTTCCCCTTGGCTTCTTCTGTGCAGAAATGTCCTGAAGATTCTTTTTCCATTAGTTCTGTTTTGCTTGGCATACTGATCTGTTGCTGATGTGCTCTGTGAACCCATTACCTTATCCTCCAACTAATGTGTCACTGGCTGTCCCTGCAAAGCTGACACCATGGTGCCAAGACGCCTGTCGAGCAGCAAAAATGTTTTCATGGTTTGATTATTTATACTTAATCACTTTAGAAGTATCAGAAACCGTGCAACTGGTCACACACTGTGTCACCACTTCTATTACATTCTATTAATGTAGATTTTGTTCAGGTCTTTTTTGGAGTGAACCTGTGCTTTATGGACATGACTATACTCTGCCTTCTGTGCACTGGAAATTCTGACTTTAGCCTTGCACATGGTCATGAGAAAAGTGCCTAGGATGGTGCAGTGGCACTGAAATGCTAAGGAAGCCTCACTGGGTGATTATACTGTCCCAGCAGAGACAAGCGTGTCTGGGGATGCACAGTAACACAAATTATTGCAGACCAAGTCTGCAGCAATGACAGATGTGATTAGCAAATCTGTCCAAATTCTGTTTAGAAATAGGCAAACTCTTTCTGATCATCTAGTGAAAATCATTACATTTAGATTGTTTGACTTCCCATTTATTCCATATTTACCTGGTCATGTTTTCTCCAATTTGCCAGAAAACTCTGTCTTAAGTGTTGTCAGTGGGCTGGAACACGATTATATTGAAAAGTGGACAGTGGTGTTGGGGCTGTTTTGAGACAGACTTGTAAAATAAGCAGTTGATTGGTAAACCAGTAGTCTCTTCTATGAATATCAATATTAGTGGGATTATGAATACTATATTTGCTCTCAAAAGTTGAAAACACTGTATTCATTTAAACAGCAACAGCATTGTTTTAGCTGTCATAAGGCCTCTGGCAAGATACATGGGAGAAGTTGACATGTTTTCGTAGCCAACTGACATAATTGGGAGAAAAAAAAAACATGCAAGAAATTTTTCAGTTTCTGCTGTTTGAAAGATCTTGTCTATTGGGTCCCCCTCCTTTTTCTCAGCTATATTCACAAGTCTAAGAAAAGACAGTACCTTTTACTTTTATAACAAGTACATTAAGCAAGGGAGAGCAAGTGCAAACGTGCTTGAGGACTTAAGAGCAATAACAATTCAATTCAAAACCAGCCAGCTGGAAAACCTTCAGTGAACTTTAGTGTTCTTTAATGGTAAATAGGGATGATCAGGAAAAACATATTGCATCCCTCTTTATATAAAATTTTGCAAGTGTTTACTGAATGTCAAACCCATCAGCAGCAGTGGAACATCTTAGCAGATGTTCCCAACACTGACAGGTCTCAGGTGAGTGAAAAGAGTTTAGACAGCTGGGTGTATAAGGGGATAACATAAAACACAGTTTATTCCATCATAAAGTTCTGTCACAGAGTATATTTTTTTTTTATCCCAGTCTGTCTCAAGGTTTCCTGTTGTTTCCCCAACCCCTTTTCCTAGGATAACAGTAAATACAAGACAGGAAGGTGAACTCAGATACTCCATATCATGTAACAAGCCACAGAAGTTTGTCTCTGAACAAACAAGCCATTCTGTTGTCAGCTACTTTTGAAGAGGCTGCAGATGCACAAATTGATCTTCATGCTGAATTTGATGAGCAAAAGTGGAAGCACTTCAGTTATGTTACATATTTCTAAAGCCAGACTTTCCCAGCCAGCTGATTAATTAATACTCCATTAGGATACGATATCTGATACCAAGACCTTTAGTTCTAATCAGTAACCAAGAATTTGGATACTCTGAGCCCCTTCATCCTCAGTGTCCCCTTCAGGACACTGAAGTAAACGCAGTTTTCCTCTGGCAACAGTCTTAGAAAACAGGACATAAAAGCAATGTCCTCTCTTTAGAAGTGGTTACTAGTAAGCTGCATGTGTTTTTGAGGAGCTCTTTAGGCTTTGCTCTTGCAATGCCAGAGCCTCTCTTGCCCTGTGTGCAAAAGATACAGACAGCACATTGCCCGTAGAAAACAGACCTCTCAAATGTGAGACTCCTTATCTAAACACACTTCCTCCCATTACAGGAATCACGAGTGGGGAAGACAAACTGTTCTGCAGGGCTTGGAGTTGGATATATCTGCAGATTACTCCCCAGCCCTTAGGCCCTGCTGGGGTATGCCATTGTTCTGCACTGACACAGAGGACGGAATCTTCCCTTCAGTGACTGACAGGAAGGAAAAAATCAAAGTGGAAAGGGAAGAAACTCTTGCCACAAACACCCCCACACCTGGCAGGCCAGATGGGAGATGATCTGGGTGAGCCCCACAGCAGTCCCATGCATGGTGGGGAAGGTGCAGGCAGGAGCAGTGCAAACTCCTGCTGACGACCAGGCTGACAACCCACCAAACTGGCAAAGCCACACCCTGCTCTCACCCCAGGCAGAGCCAGAAAGAGTAACTCCCTTCTGATCAATTCTCACCCCACTGGTAGCAATATCCCCACAGACCCTCACTCAGCATCTGAGAGCATCACAGCTCAGCACAAAAAGAAGGGGTCCTGGGCTTGTCTTCATTCTCCCAGGCTGCTCTGCACTTTTGAAATGAAGAATTATTTTTATTAAAGAAAGATGCTTTGATTTCTGGATTTTACCATCTTCCTAAACAGGCACTTCCAATCTTAGAGTCTTCATCAAGAAGATGCTAAAAGATGTCTTCTTATTTAAGAGAAAAATTTAATCACCTTGACTTCCAAAACAATCTGAATACTCCAGCCTTAAGTCTTCTCATCAAGGCCAGATTTATAAACTCAATCAGACTTTTGCTTGAGGTTCTGCAAATTTGGTTTTAAGTTTCTGTATACTTAGAGCTGCACAGATCAGTTTGAAACTTTGGGAAATTAAAAGAAATTAAAACCTCTACACCAAATATTCCTTCCATTGTAGCTGACATGAGAGAAGATACATATTTTGTATGAAGTTTGTCTTCCCCATCAATTTGATGGCTAAATTACAGCTGCTGGGTCAAGGACAGATGAAGGGAATAAAGCTAAAACCTTCTTGATTTTCGTCTGCCTTAGATCAATTTGAAAGATCAAGAGTTTAGTCTTTCACACTTTCCATGGCTTAATAAAGGATGCATCAAGGATGTTCGAGTTCTTGCATCTTCATGAAGAACTGAAATTGATATTAAAGACTTTACAATCTCTTTTATCTGAAGTTAATTAGCCACTGGAAAAAAAAAAACTAGCAGAGTCTAATACAATCTGACTTAAAAAAAAACCCCTTTCCTTTCTCTTATTAAACATCCTCTCATTTGGCTGTAGCCAATTCACTATTTTCTATTTCTCCAATCACTGTAAAATTTTGCAGGACTTCATTTTCAAAAGTGAAAAAGAAGAAAGGGAAACAATAAAAGTGAACCATCTATTTTCTGAACACCTTTCCCATCATGCTCCACAGATTCTTTCCTCCAAAGGTGAGCTTCACCCCGGTATATTTGTTTAAAAATTGAACAATTTTCCTCTATTTCAACATGAGTTTCTCAGTCTTTTTTGATATCAAGCACCCCAGCAAGACCAGCCTCCGATCTGTTCCCAGCTAAGAATGATGAGGTCCTAGAAGAGGCTGGCAACAGACAACAAGGGTTTACATTCATGGTGCTTGAGCACATTTAATGGAATTAAGGATGATAATAGACCTGAGAAATTCTCATTTCCTTGACAGTGATCAGGATCTTAGGTAGAGACAGTCACTATATCTAAAATTAGTTGCATAAATCTGCAAAACATGGTTTTTTAAATGCAGGATGCCTGCTTGTAAACTATTTATCCACATACTCCTCATAGGAGCAAGTGACGTAATCTTAGCATGATAAACACTAACCTTAATAAACCTCTGATTTAAAAGTTTTTAACTTAAGACAAAGCCTGAGACTAATATTTTTAAAGTAACTTAATTTTTTTAAAAATCTTGTTGAGTAAGGGAGATACCTCTAAACTGGGAGGGAGACATGTCTTCAGTCAGCTGAAGAAAAATTTTGCTTTTAGTAAAGTCTGCTTTACTGCCCTTGCAGTATAGCAACAACATTTTCAGTATAGTAATAGATTTGAAACAATAATATTGTACCACATAATTCCAGGAAAAAGAACAGAAGTTATATTGACCTTCACAGGCTTTGGGCTAAAACAAAAGACAGGTTTGCCCCCACTTTTAAGGTGGAAGAGTTCATGTTGCTTCTTGTCCTTCTATACACTGATGAAACAATATGATCTTTTCAAAATTCAGTGAAGATCCTAATTAAAATCAGATTCTCTTATCTACAAAGCCTTGAAGCTGTCATAATTTGAGTGCTATTCTTCTTGATCTACTTAGCCCTGACAGCTTAAGTCAATGTTGAATTAAACTTGTGCTAAACCATCCCCTTTATCAGCATCTTTTTCTCTGATAGGAATCCCTAAGCACAACTTAGGGAAATAGGAGAACCTTTAAAGTAGACTGGCTAAATATTCCCCCCAAATTACCATGGATTTCTTTCCCTCATGTTCAGTGAAGATGCTGGCAGTTAAAAATACTTTCTGCAAGAGGACCTTTACTGTGATAAATGAGACTTGCTCCTTTGATTTTAATGGAATTACATTAATCTACTGCAGGTAAGGATCTGACCCTCTACACTTTTGGATGTCACCCAGGAAGACATTACAGCAGGGTAGGTGGTGTCCCAGCTTAAATTTTTTTAAAAATACATCCAAAGCAGACAGAAGCATACAAGGGATAACTTCATTATATACACTACATTTTCCCTGTGTTTCAAAGGGCACATGCAGCTGGTTTAAAAACCTTTCAGCGGGAAAGCAGAGCACGGACATTATTTATGATTCACCTCCTAGAAAGAAAAAATATCTTTCCTCCTCAGCCCTTGATGAAGGACAGGGAAGAGCCAAGGATCAGCTTGAAGAGCAAAGCTGTGGGGTAGCAATATGAGAGAGGCAGATCAACCCAGCAGCCACCAGAGAGGCTGGAACCTTTTCTCCCCCACACCACTCAGTGGGAAACAGCCTCGCAGCAGGAGCAGCGCCAGCGGTGGGATGCCTTCCACCAAGCCAGGTTTCAGGAGCTCCAGCTGTCCAGGAAGAAACACTCTGGCCAGCCCAGGTGGGACTGGATGACTGACCATCAGAAGCATAAACCTCCTAATACCTCTCCTAGCTCAGCTCTGCCCCCACGCAGCCTTTCTGGAGCAGACAGCAGGATCAATGGTGTTATGGGAGGTGGAAAACAAGTCATAGTGTCAGCAAGGGCTGGGGCAACTCAACAGGGGAATTCCCTGCATCTGCCCCCCTCTCCCCAGCACCCGCCTGAATAAATGCCTGTCTCCATGCAGAGTATCCTGTCCAGGTAGGCATCTTACCTCAGCTTCTCCCTCCTATTCATCCATTCTCTGCAGAGAGTTCAGGGCTTCCCCCATATACAGCTCACCCAATTTCTGGGTTTTATTGACTTTTCCAGGCACTCCTGTAACCCCTTGCCTCAAATCAAGTTCTGCTTCATCCACGCCAGCCACTCTTTTCTCCCTGGGAGAATAACTTGCAGATTCTTATCAATCTTCACCTATCTCCTCTGAATGACATCTTTGCTCCAACAAGAAATGAAGTTTACATGTGAAAACACACGTTTGAGAGATGAGTAGATAGTTTACCTCTGACAGACACAGAGAACCCCCCTGAGTGCAGCTGCCAGGTGAACAAGGTGTTTTGCTCAGTTGTGTGCCCTGCAGTCAGGCAGGGATGTACCAAGAACGTGGCTGACTCCTTCCCTGGGGAATCTCCCTGAGAAAAGCAATGTGACAGGCTCTGATGTGACAGGTAACATACAGTAATTAAGCGCTTCTTCATTATGGCAGAAACATTATGGCATTACTGATAAGTAATGATTTAATTACTCCTTCGTTTTTACAGAAGAGGCTCCAGTATTAAACCAGTAAGAAAAGAGAAAACAGAATAAACACAAACCACTTATATGAATACTGCAATAGCACATGATTATGGCAAGCACCCTCTGACCCTCTCCCACCCACTCTCCAACAAGTGTGCAGAGAGCTTCCCAGGGATATTGTTGCCATCCAGTATTATCATCTGTATACACAGTAACTCACACAGTGAGTCCAGCACAGAAGTTCTGCTCTCCCACCAGCAAGACCTAGCTGAGTCAAATGTTGCTGTACCCACACAAGTGCACAAACACACACACATGTATGGGAACAGGAAGCTGGAACAGCTGAGGTCCATGTGTCATGAACCACTGTGGTTTTCCACAAGGGATGAGAACTAGTGTTTCAAACCAAGTTCATCAGGAACAGCATCAGCAGGCCTGCAGCGAGGGGTGCCATCTGCTCACTCTCCCTGAATTCAGGCGGCCCACGCAGCTCAGGCATCTTCTCAATTTGTGTGGAAAAGCTGGTTCTCGGTGGAGCTCAATCCAGCACCTGCAGCAGAAGGAGCACACTCGTCAGACACCCAAAACTGTGCTCACGTAACGTGAGCAGTCGTCACCCATACGCCTCTACCAGCTAAAACTGACTGCCGTACCTAGAGCCATCACCACGCTGTGTCAAAACAAAGCTACTGGCAGCACATGGAAAAGATTTCAACACTGATTAAAGACTTGCCTGCAAGATTTTCCAAATGTAAAGCCTGTTTAATCACTGCATTTCTGTGTGCTTTCAGGAAAAGCAACTCAGCTTTGAATGACTCACCCTTCTCAGCCCAAACCATTTTTTCTCTGGGCTAAGTATGGCATCTATTTACTCAGGCAGTCAGGGGCCAGGCGTGAAATGTGTGTCAGGTCTCCTCAGGTCCACGATTATGTACTGTCATATTTTTAATTGAGGTAGTTTCCATGAAAGACCTTTTTTCCACACCCTCAGGACAGCGTGGAAATTCAGAGCTTGTTCCTCCCAAAACAATCACCTCCACAGTGGTGCTCAAAGAGAGAACACAATGCTGCAGAAACAAAAATAATTGTGGAAAAATACTGGAACACAAGCATTTAAACAATAGTGGTGGGTATTTTCCAGAAGCCTGCTGACTCCAGCGATTTTGCTATACAGTAACTTTGTGGGTGACGGCTGCCTGAACTGTGATCCATTACTGGAAGCTAATTACATGCAGTCAACCATCTTAAATTCCTCTTTTTCTCCACTCTAAAAGCCTGTCCTCTTACACACATACTTAAGAGACTCCAGAGGTCTATGTAGAGCCAAATACAAAAAAGACACTACATGTCTTTTGTCATATAAACAATAAAAAATTAAGGCAATTGTCATGACTATCTGCCACCAGGATAAGGAAAGGACAGTTTCTCATTGCCATGCTAGGAGTCTGAGGTGCACGACCGCAGAGCTGCGTGATGTCATTATTTAGATGTCAAACCCAAATTAACCCTTTCAAAAGTACAAAAGCAATTGCTAGTATGGTGGCTCAGTTCACCCTGACACATTAACAATAACACATTTATTGCAGAAATACTAATCCCACTGAAGGCAATTTCAAAACTTCTGTCTCACTTACAGTTCAAAGTATATTCCTGAACTTGGGAAGAAAGCTTGCTAACTAAGAAAGCACAATTTCAAGTTCAGCCAGGAATTCTCATACATTACACAGGGTGAGAACTAAATGGAGAGATGGATTTTCTTTAATTATCAATTATAGATCAATTCATTATTATTTTCAGCATTGCAATTTACATCTACTATCCTGCAACTATAGTTTCAGGGTTGCCACAGCTTTTGAAAATAAAAAGATGTTTCCATGTACTTCAGAGCTTGTTGTTTGAAGGAATACCTTTATACCTCACCCAGCTCTCCTAAACAGATCATCCTTTTTTACTTCAGAACTTCTGAAGATAATTAGAAAATTTCACTTTGTTCATTTCTTGATTAGCCCTGTTTTTAAAAAGAGCTTGTGCATACACACATCATTTGCTCTGTAAAAATCCCTAATATATTAATCAGTTCATGACTCTTGCAAAACACATGAGAAAAGAACAAATCTCTGCTGACCCGTGAATACATTTCCCAGTGAGGTTTACCATAATAGCAATTGGAAATCACTTCTGGTAAGTGAAAACAAGCTTGCTTGAAGATTCAATCTGAAGAGCCATGCAGTTTATTCAACCACAAATGTAACACTAAACAACAAAAGACTAAAGACAAGGCAAAATATTCTAGTTTGAGTACAGCTGCAATGTGGTTAGGCACCCTTGTCTTGAAAATCAAAGAGGCTGTGCTGGTGTATTTCAGTTCATAGTACTGGAAAGTTTGATGTACCAAAAATAACTTGTATCATTCTGAAGTAAAGCAAGCTCCCTATGGTTTTAAAGGATGAAGTCTCTGGGATCCTGATCTGTGCTGTATCTTCTACTAGCGGTGAGCAAGTCCCTTCAAGAGTGAGAGGTTTCACAGATCTCATCCAAATAGCAGTTTCCCTCCTATGAAAAGTGAAGTGGTTTGTATGTACAAAACCAAGGCTTTCAACAGAAGGACTAAAAGAACTGTACAGATTAAGGCAGCAGGGAAGACAGAAAACCTACAAGGAATAATGCAAGTGGCCTAAGCCAACATAGCGGGCAGTGCTGAGGTGAGACTGAACAAACTGCTCCCAGTGAGGGTGGCATTTCCCAGATACAGCATTCCCAAAGCCCCTGTCCTTAAGGACTACAAGACAGGGACAGTGGGTTTTGTGTCCTGTAACAGCAACCAGACCTGGAGCTTCTGAAATAGAACAGTGAAAAGGTGTGTTGGTTGCCCCTACACAGTCAAATTAAGAACATAAAGGCCAGCATCCACTCGAGAACCTGAAATCTCTCTAGAATTACCTTAATTCAACAACTGCTTTCCTTTGCCACTAAATTTAATTAACAGGGTATAGAGATACTGTCTAGAGGGCTTATTTGTTGCAGTCACAGGGTTTTTTTCAGACAACATGGTATGTTTCAGTATTCTCTGTGACTAAGAACTCCATTTATAAGAGACTTTGCTCTAAGTGACTGCTAATCTGGCTTAGGTACAGAAATAAAAAATTGGTAAACCATGAAATGCAGCATTGAGCACAAAGCTAATCCTCAAAGGAAGAAAAAAAATAGGTTTTGATAGGGCTTTTTTTTCCTCTCCTTTTTGTCCCGCTTTGATGCCTGAAGGCAACCTGAAAGTTCTGGGGTCCGTTCTTCCTTCCCAATTTTTCCCTTGCTGTTATATATTAAAAACTTCCAAAGCATATTTGAAAGAGCATGATTTTATAACCACACCTATGTACAGAAAATGTGTATTTTTCTAACATATACGTAAGGTTTTTTTACAGATGTGCAGAGAGGCACAGAAAAAGAACTCAGTGCAGACAAGGTTTTGCTAATACAATAAACTTCAATCTCCATTTAAATATGAGTAGTGCCAGCTCATACACTACCAGTGTTAGGGTAGATGTCTTTAAACAGACCTTTTTTTCCAAATTAAAATGGAGCTATGAAAAACTTAAGAGATCACAAACTCTTTCAATATAAGGCAGCGACTACTAATGTTGAAGGATGAAGATATCTAAATAGATGGCTTAACATGGACTTTTTTGTTTGGTTGGTTCGTTTGCTTATCTGGGTTTTGTTGTTATTGTTAGTGGTTTTGTCCTGTTGGTTTGGTTTTGGCATTTTTTCTCCTCAATGTCCAGTTTAATCTGCCCCTAACAGGCTACGGAGATTGCTGCTTTGTTACGAAATCTGCTTGCAGACTGCCCCACCAAAACAGCAGGATGCTCACAATGTGCTTTTAAAACCTCAAAACAGCATCAAGAATCACACAGATGTTTGATTTCCCAAAAATTTAACAGCTTCTCAAGTTTCCTTGCAGTAGGGAAATCTTAAAACCACATAATTTTTCATTCTGGCATTTCTTTTGGAATTAGCAGCTGTATTCAGACCCACAGCCATCTCAAGGAATTTCCTCCAAGGGTTATAACTATCTCCTAGGAGAAAAACATAGCCAAACACACTTGTAATGCCAAGAACCTACTCATTTACAAGTGCAGAAGAGGAGAACTAATCCAGGAACATGAGTTGCACTTGCACTGTCCAGTTTTCACAAACGGGGCAGCTCCTTATGACCTTGAAGGCATTACATCATCCACCTAAATATCTTGCTTTCTAAGTTGTATGGCTTTCTGAGCCAGCTGGAAAACAAAAGGTTGTTCACAAAGGTCTGTAACAGCTCGATATGGTAGCCAGTGGATGTGACTAAGGATCTCAGAAAGAGGATGAGCTGTACCAGTGTCGCCTCATTTTCTTCCACATTCTGTGTAGCTGGTACTGGGATCAGGGAGCATTGTGAAAGGCTGAGGATGGAGGTGTACTTGGCTTAAATGCAGTATGAATCATGGCTTTGAAACAACAAAGCAACTCTTTTCATGATTAAACAGGGCAAATGAAAGCATGCAAAGGAGATCCTGTTTTATCTGCTTGTGTGTATGTACAGCTAACTGACAAAGTCATGCACACGACTAACCACAGGGAAATATGGCTGAACTTGAGAGACGTATATCCATACATCTGCACATGCACATCTGCATACTCATGGATGCACTGGCATGCAAAAAACACCTCCTTCACATATCGCTACGGCATGGCATGTATACGCCTGTGTCTGATGCTCGTCGGTGACTTTCACTCCTCAGACTGACTCCAGCAAAACAAAACCAAAGCTTCCAGGTATTTCTCTGTCATAAGTGGCACTGTTGAAGTACTTATACTTTCAAGAATTTATCACACCAGTTTTCACTTGAAGAAACAACAATGAAGGGATTTCATTGTGAAAATCAAGTCCTTAATCTTGTTTTAATGAAGAACCTGCAGAGAAATTCCCCTCCTTTCTAGATGGACCACCAGGTGAGCTGTAAGATTAGTACCAATTTGCCTTGATATGTCAAGCAAGGTTTGAATTAATTTTTCCACAGATCCCCAGTGGAAAGCTGTCACTCCTTTAGTTAACACAGTCTTGGCACAACTTGGCACGGAGTGCTCGAACCTTGTCCAGCAGTTAGTGCTGCAATTCACAGTGAGAAGACACCAACACATACATGGGATTTTTATTTTCCTGGACTTCATTCCCAGCCCATGCATGGAAAATCTCCTTGTGTCCACTAAAATACCCTCTCCTGTCTCTCAAAGAGGCAGATTGATTTGCATCCCGCTGGACATACGAGAGCATCGGTGCCATACAAATGAAGCCCACCTTCCCTTCTCCTCAACAAACACCCACAACAGTGTCTCAGAGAGTAAGAGAAGCACAAACCTGTAAGCTTTTCCTAGGGAAACCATCCCTGCTTCCTAGGATGACCAGGGACTTTCCTTGTTAAGACCTGTATCTACATAATGCTAGCATTGTTAACTGCTAACAACCTTGACTTCCAAGCATTTGTGGAGTCCTACCTTTGAATATGTTTTCTTCTCTACAGTAACCTTTACTTCATTTAAATGCATGCTCTCTACAAAAATGTTTTTAAAAACCCCAGCATCCATTGCCTCATATTGTCCAACCAGACTGCTGTTTTCTGTTGCAAGAAACAGAGATCAGTGCTTTTGAATTTCCCTTTTGTTTACTACTCCAGTTATTACAGTGAGTTCTAATGTCATCTCACCTCCATGACTGGGCATGTTAAGTGTCTTCTCCTACGGAAACAACTTCATATCCTTGATTATCTTATTATCTTTCTCTACATATTCATTACTTCAGAAGTAAGTTCATTTTTCTTGAAAACATGGAAAACTGAGATGCAATGCTCCAGATGTGTGTTCATCACAGATTTTATTCAGCGGTTTACCATGCCATTCCACCATGCTGTTTGATTATTTCCCTCCTAATAATTTCTGGTGTTTGTCATTGAAGAGCTTCCCACTGTGCCTCCAAGATGCTTTTTCCATTTGATTACAGCCAATTTAGAGAATATCCTCATGTTCAGATGTGCCATCTGCAGTACTTTGTAATTATTCACACAAAATCCAATCTTCTTTATATCATCATCTGCCAACTTAGAAATGTGAGAACCTTCTGTATTTCTTCACAGTTAGCTGTAGGCTGGACTGCCCTCCATAACTGTTTATAACCCACAAATGTTATCAGCTCATTATCAACTCCCTTCTCCAGGAATACACTGTACAACATTGCTCCCATTCTGATTTTTGTGGGACACCTCAGAAATTTCAGTAACCATTCTCCTTCAAGTCAACAGAAGATTTCTTCATACTGTTGCTTCTTATCTTTTAACCAGTAACTGAGAGGTGACTTTTCCCCTTTCTCAAATGCTAGCCTAGTTTCTTTCAAAACATCTGCCCTATCTATTCACAGTGTTCCCTTAATTGCTGATGAACTCTTGACTCCTGCTTTAGTTGGACTCTTGTTTCTCACTTGCTTAGAAAAAAATGTTCCCATTTGTTTTGCCCATATTATGGCTTTACATATGGCCCAGAATTTATATTCTCCTATATTTTCCTTCTTTAGATTTCCCTCCTAAAGTTTAAAGACTGTTTTTAAAAGAGATCTCATTCACTCTTGCTTGGCTTGTTTAGCTCTTTTTCCAGGTGTGGAAATAGAGCAACACTCTTTTCAAAATTGATTTAGATTCACTCCAAGACCCCACTGCACATTTAAACACATTGCAAGACTCGATGACACCTTCAAGTGTTTAACCCTACAGCTGCTTCTTTTACTTCCCTTTTTTTGCTTTCTAATGCTTCTGATTTTTCCCTTTCAAGCTGAAAAACAAATGTGGTAGATTCTCTGCACAGCATCTACTTGGTAAATAAAAATTCTATTCTCTTCTTTTTTTCTTGGGAAGACCAGAACACGGATCACCACATTTTCTGTTCATACTCAACCCCTGAAATTTATGGCAATTGCAGTGCAAAATCTTGCTACCAAAGACTTAAGAATATAATGTACATTAACAGTGATGTCTAATAGTGTACCAAATTAAGAATAAAAGAAACACATAAAGCCTGAGCCTTAATACACACAGACCAAATGCACTACCACAGATCTTACCCATAGAGCATAACACTAGAAAATTAGCTGAGAAAAATCACCATTAGTTTTAAGAAAAAACTAATGCTTTATCTTGTATCATTTAGAAACAAAAATATGTATGTTTTCTGTAAGAAAATCAGGGTAGAGAAATTAATCACATTTAAGCTATTAAGTCCCAGCTTTACTTTTCCTGAAGCATCTTAATAGAAAAAAAAAATCACTGTATTATGTATATCTGTTCATATTTTCTATCATATGCTATCTCCCGTGAGTAAGGAAACATCCATTTCCTTTCATCTGCATTTACATGCTAAGGTATCTCAGATAAAATAAACCAAATTACTAATTTCTCAGCAAAACTGGTTTTGTAAATGAAATAACTCCTTGAAGGGTTTAACTTTGATAGAAGTCTAAAAGTTTGCCATTGACTCCAAAGGGCAGCACCTAGGCTTTTCTAGAGACAGTAGTTTTGGAAAGAAAGGTGTGAAGTAAACACGCATCTTATCTTCTTGAAACCATCCCTCCAAAGCATTTCTACAGAGTAAAGCTCAACTTTTTTCACATGTGCTTGGGTCAGAATTTAAAGCTGGAAAGCCAAAAGTTCTGCTGGGGTAAAACTATACCAGATCCTGTCTCATGGACCAACTAATAAAGAAAAAAAAAAACACCCAGAAAACCTAAAGATAATTTATTTATATTTTTCTCAGTCACTTTTAGGAAGAGTGGTTCTTTTTGAAAATGTTGCTTGAAATTAAATTTTTAAAACCTGCCAAGTGTTTTTAAAAGTGTTTTAAAACTGACCAGGATTTCTTAACTGTTGTTTAAATAATTCTGTCCAAATTTTGTGGAGAAATTCCTGCATTCAGCTGTGAAAAAACAACACCAAATTCTTGACTGTTAGTACCTCCAGCTTAGAGTCATCTTTTAGCTAGTCCCCCCTGCTTTTTCTCACTGTAGCACATTATCTGTTATCCTAAATATTGCTTGGGGAACACAGTGACAGAAATGAGACCAATTTTACTCTGAAGGAAATTTTAGAGAAATTAGGGGAATTACATCAGGAAGTAATTTTGCTCAGCCTACACAGAGACACTACACGTCCTGTTCAGTAGAGTTTGTTATATTGTCACTGCAGTGTAACATTTTATCTGCTCTCTTCAGACTCATGTGTGTATTTAACCCTACTGCTTTTGGGTCCTGCAGGAGGCCACACAGAGTTTAGGGGGCTTGGGTAGATAGTCAGAGCTTGGAAACAGGAAAACAGGAAATGCTAACTAAGGAGGATGTGTCATGAACAAGAGCCTCTCCTTAGAAAATAACATTTTTACTTAAGGGAGCTGGTGGCAGGGACAGAAATATCAGACAGTGGATATTTTACAGACAGACTGTGCCCTTTACAAACATTAACATTCTCCTAATTTGCCAAAAACTGCTCATGGAGGTATGCAAATGGCTAAGTCGGTCACAAGGACTCACCCTATGAAGATGACAAAAAAGTGCAAAGATGACATAAAAAGTTGACTCTATGTCCATTTAATTTTTTTCCTGTTCTGTCACTTGATTTAAAACAAGTTTTAGCTATTATTTTAACAGTGTTCTGAAAACAAAAAAAAAGATAAACAAGCTTCTGCCCTCATAACAGAACCGTAACAGAAATAATAGATAAACTAATCAGAGAGATTACTCTGGAGGGTTTTTACATTTTTTTTAAGGTGACCTTTAACACTTTCTCTTGGAAAGCAGTGTTTTATACATTTTTTAATCCACCCTTCTGTAATACATATTCCAATGTCAGTTAGACTGGATCTATAGGGACCCAGAGACAAGTATCATTTTATTATGGTAATAAAGGACAAGAGGAATACGTTCTTGTGGATTTGTTCCCTTTGAAAATTTTATCTATGAAAAGAGAAAAACACTGTGTTTTTAAAGACAGCAGAGATTTAAAATACCCATTTCATATGCAAGGCTGAGTTTAACTGCATGTGGACTTTCTATTTTCCTAAACGTTTAGCCACAAAATCATACAAAAAACACACATATATCCTAACACAATAGAATATGCCTAGCCTATATATTCATTTATTTCTTTCAATTTTTTAAAAGGTTGTTCCCTGAAAAATAGAAGTCACATTTGCTTAATATACAGCTTAAACGCACCAGATTTTTTTTTCAGTTATCACTAATGGAATTCTAGTTTGACCAGCATACTAACTCTGCTGTTGCCTTCTTGCCGTACTCCTCAGTAATGAGGTCACCTGCCTGAAGCTCATGCAAGGCAGAAAGTGGGTGTAAAATGAAAACCACCACATGCCCCTGGCTTACCTCTCTTTGATGTCCTGAGGTGCAGCTCCTCGAGGTTGCCTCCTCCCCAGCACTGCCAAAATGCCCTCCGAGAGGTTAAGCAAGCATCAGTCCCTTACACTCAGAGTCAGGGCACTCTGCTCTGTCCACACTGTGCCCCTTTCCCACCGTGGCAGGCAGCCCACAAAATGGGCCACTATTCACCAGCTGCACACCTTGCACCCACGGGTGAGACGTGCCCTTTGGGGACTCTCCAGTCCCGAACCTCTCACATCCCACTTCATCATCGCTCCTCTCTTCTACCTCATGGGCACTGAACAAGCCAAGAGTGCTGTGGCACTGGACATGCTTCTGATCAATAAATTACTCTGCTTTACATGGTTCAAATTTAAGCTTTTATTTGGTTTTTAAATTAAAAAAATAAATTTCGTTATTAAATAGTGGAATGGGTCTAAACTAATGTTTACATATTAATTTGCTTGCTTTAGGATACCACCAGAGAAATAATTGAAGTTTACCACCCAGACAAAACTTTCTGTTAGAAAGCTCAACAGTGGCATAATTCAGTTAAACAGGAAAAAAAAAAAAAGCCCCAAAAGTCTTAATGTTTACAATGAACGTTAGAAGTAAACCTCTGGTTTTAGCGTCATCCAACTCTAGTTTCCACCACAAAGGCGGTCATTTTATTCAGAATACTATACCACAGTGCTAATGTCATCAGCTTCATCTGGTTTCTTTTGCCTGCTTGGCAGGGATTTCAAGTACTCAAGGTGCCTCCTTGCATCCTCCTGGTTCTGTCGGACGTAATAAACCACGTAGGAGATCACCATGGTGAACCAGCCAAACATGGTGACCAGCATGGCGTAGTCAGTAGTCTTTTTAGGCAGGTTGCAGAGGTCGGCGTCGTTGGCAGCGTTGAGGAAGGGTCTCCCTGCGTGCTCGTCCAGCACAGAGGTCTTGCAGATGACGTTGTTGGCCGTCTCGTGGTTGGAGGCCATGCTCCGCAGCACCTGCTGCAGCGTGCAGTCACAGTGCCAGGGGTTGTTGGCAATTCTGGCCCTGGCCTTCAGGTTGTTGAAAGCGTTTTTGTGCACGCTTTTAATCCGGTTGTCGGACAAATCTAGAGTCTGCAAGGTTTCTGCCACCCCTTTAAAGGCATGTTCATCGATAAACTCAATCCCATTTTTTGATAAATTGAGGACTCTCAATTGGTGCAGGTCCTTAAAAATTTCGTTGGGGATAGATGTTATCTGATTGGAGTCCAAGTAAAGTAAGACTGTTTCTGGAGGAAGATCTCTGGGTATTTCCTTGAGGTTTGCATTGCTACAGCTGACATTCAGACCTCCGGAGTGGGAACAGAGGCAGCCTTTTGGGCACATACTGGCAGAATGAAAGCACAGTATCATGAGGACAAAACTTTGTAAGAGCAGACACATGGAGAGGGAACGAGTTAACCACAGGTCTACCAAATGCATGCTGGGCTGTCAGCATAATCACACGACCATTTCTCATTCAGCCGCCAGGGTGGGAAAAGGATCGGCAAAGCTGAAACGTGGCTTCATTTTCTTCGTCAGGATTAGTAAAAACTGGTTACTAGCACACGGGCTTCCTCATGGTCAATACGCTTCTTAGAAGCATGCCTACAGAGAAGAAGGAAAAAAGATTCTTTATACCACAAACTCCAATTCTAACTTTGTTTTTATTTAAAAAAAATAGAAATAAAAATATGTTAGAGGGAAATGCCATGCTAAAGAAATGATTTATTATCTTAAGTAACTTCTATTAACATTAATCTGAGTTTAGTACATAAATCCCCAGGACATTTTTAAGACGATAGACTACACTTACTACAAATTTCATGGGTTTGGTCTTTAATACTTATTAGAGAACAAACTGGTTTGCTTTTATCACAGACTCTTCTAAAACAGCTATAAAACTAAACTGCATTTTCCCTTGCTGAAGTAGAAGATGCATCAATAGGAGCTAAGACGTGTATCTCCAGCAACAGTGACAGGTTAAGTGAGGAATCTGTGGTGGTTAATGTGAAGTTATCTCAAAATAATTTATGTTATTTTAAGTCTAAATCCAAGTACTTCAGCAAGGAAATATTTTTACTACATCAAGGAACAAATCTCAGGTAAAGCAAATGCTGCTGCAAGACACCACAATCACCCGCCATCTCCTTGTTTGTCCACCCCTCCTTCTCTTTTGCCTTAGAATGCTGGATTTCTTGTACTTCCCAAGTATCTTTGGTGAGAACCACAGATATAATTTCTACTTCCAGTTTTTTTGAAAATTTTCTTTTCATGTAACAAAAAGAAATGGAACAATTGCCAAAAACTCACATACCCCACCCTCCAAAACAAATAAAACTCACGAAACTTATTGCCAAACCAAACACTAAAATATCTTATTTCACAGCATGTCATTTGCCAATAGGACATATGAAAAATACTGTTTCTGCTTCTCCCCGCCTCAAGTTCACTTTAAAATAGCAAACATCCAGAACCTTTTCCATTTTCTCCTTTAACTGGAATACAAATACAGAAGTCTGAAATGCTGACCTATATGGTTTCAAAGACAACCCTTCCCCCTGCCCCCACCACCCCTATTATGGTAAACTATGAATTTCTAACAACAACAGGTCCATTTGTTTTCACGTACATGCTCTCTGTCTTTGTAGCAGCTTGGATATGTGTAGCCTTCAGGTTGTATTTACATATAAATGAATTATGTTTTTTTCTAAATCCACACTGTAGCCCACTGAACAAGAAAATCCCTGCAAGGAGGATATGTGTGATTTTACATGAAAAAGAAGAAATTGCATTGCAATCACTTTTTTACTTTCAGAACTGACATACCAACTGCAGTTGCTGACACACTGCAGTAATATGGATCAGATGTGTCAAACATAATTTCAAACTCATAGCTCAAATTCTATTTAACCCTTTCTGCTGAGGTTCAGTATGTCAGTAACCCCACAGGCAAAGAAAAATAAAACAACCCAAACCAATCTTAACAGCATGTACATTACTTGTGATTACCCCATGACTCGGGAATGCTCGCACAAGCTCAGCATACTCTCACTACAACTACTGCAGAGAGTGGTGCACCACCACTAATGTTCAAATATCTATTGCTCAAATCAGTGATTTCCCAAGAACCTAAACAGAAAGCTCACATTAACTTCTACCCTAAAATTAAAAAGAAATGTAATTGCTAGAAATGAGAAATTGTGAAGTTAACCCTGGAAATGTGAAACTGTTTAGAAGGGAACTAAGCAGAGCATGAAAAGCTCCCTTTGAGGAAAGAGAGGTGAGGTAGCACCTTCTGAGTTAATGAAATGCTTCATGACCTCTGTGGAAAAAAAACCAGGGTTTACACAAAAGAACCCTGTTGCAGTGGGTGTATCCCTCCCACTTCCATTTCTCCCTTTGCCTCTTTGGTCACTGCAGTGCCTGCTCTTTAGACCAGACAGAAACCTGCTACCGAAGGAGATAAGCTCCAGAAGTTGTTTTTTTCCCAGCCTGCCCAAAAGCGTTAAGTACTTGCTAAAATGTGCAGCCCATTCGGAGGCCAAGCTGGAGCTGGCAGCTGCTCCCCCTGGCACTTGGAGCTAGCAACCTGCTGCTCCCTCCAGCAGCCCTGGGTGTTGTGGCAGGACAGCCTGTCCCCTGGAAAAACAGCCACCTATTTTCTTTTCCCTTCATGTTCATGTGTCTCTGTACTGTGCTGCTGCACCCAAAGAGCAGATGAGTGGTCCAGCTCATCACCACAGAAGGAGCATCATCTCATCACCTACTGCTTGTACACAGTGGCTTCCCACCACTGGCACTGGAGCTCTACTGCAGGAAGGGACTGGGGGGAAAGAGCAAGGACCTGAAGTAGTCTTGGGTGCTTCATTTTATAGAAGCACGAAAATGATACTGTTCTCATCAGTGTGACAAATGAATATCAAATTTGCTTCAATACAGGCTAAAAAAATCCAGTCAGCCTCAAAATATAGCACAGACCCTGCTGAGTCCACCACAGCACTGTTACACCACCAAAGAGCATGTATCAGAGGCCCCAAGCCCCTTTGTGGAACATCCTCATCCCACCGAAGACAAATGAAACTATTAATGTATCAATGTGTTTAGAGTGGAAGAAGTAGAGTCATTACAGACTAAACAGGATAGTGTTTAATGGAGCAGTACCTCTTCTAAAGGCCTAACTAAGTAAATTAATATAGAGAGGAAAGAACTCACAATGTTTTAAGTTGCTACATAGAGCAAATACAAGTTTAAACCTGCAATTAACAACCTACTCAACAAAACTTGTCTGAATAAGAACAAAGCTCAGCAAATTCCCAGTAAATTAACCAGAAGAAACACAATGGGACTGAGCATCAGTCAGGGTAAACAGCTTTGTTTGCTTCAGAATATACCATCGAAGGGATACCTGAGGTTTAGGTTTCAGCAATAAACTTAGAGCAAGAACCTTCTTTACTCCTAGTGACTGCAAGAAAAGAAAACTAGGATTCACACATTTCTAATGCCAGTGGAAGATCTGTGGCTTCTTGAGCTATATCTAATTTCCTCTTGCTTGGAACACAATAAATAAAGGTGTCAAAGTTGGAACAACCATAATAGAGATATACCAGAAGAAACAGTAATGATTACAGACAAAGGAATGAAGGACACAGAATTAAAATAAATATGTGAATTAATTATAAATCTGCAAATAAAGAAAAAAAAAAGAAATTAAAAAGTGAACGAAGGCACAGGGAAATGACAGCAATACCAGGAGCACTTGTAGCAGTGTGGTATAAAAAGGCTTTTTGTGCACATTTCTAAAATACAAGCACAAACATTGAATACCTAACACCAAGTCAAATATTGCAAGGGAACAATACTACAGACAAAAGATTGCACAGAGGAGTTCTTTACAGTCTTGCAATTTAAACAGGTTTCCAAGGCTTCCTCTTCTCGAGTTCCCCCAAGACCATTCACTCAGTGCCTACATCCAACAATGTAGGAAAATGTACAAATCCTGAAAGCCTCAGGGAAAGCACATTGCTTTTAATACATGGTGAGATTTCTACTGAGCTTCGGGTGTCAGTACTTGCAAGTGTTTGTCTTTACTGCAAACAAGGTGCAGAGACTGTATCTTAGCTCCTGAACGCAACACTACTAAATTATCTAACTGAATAATAACTTCTCCCCACAAGAAACTAGTGATGTGAGGAAGCATAAGTGCCTCCAACTACCAACATGGAAAAGGGCTCCTCAGACTCAAGAAAGTCACACAGAAAGTCCAGGACAAGACTGCCTGAAATATTAATTTATCCTGTTTATCTTCAAAGGAACATAGAGGAGGATAGAAAATCCTATAACCATCAGACAGAACAGCCAGAAAATGACACAGGCTGAGATGTTTTGTTGTTTAGGGCAATACTAAGACAACAAGAGATGAATAAAAAGACGATCCATCATATATGTTTAGTTAAAGATGTCTGACTAGGGGAAGGGGTTTCTACTGCAGTGTTGAGACTTTCAGAGTCCACATGGCAGCTCTGGTCATCACCCAGGTACTCACACACCCCCTTGCCCCCATAAAAGAAAATGGAACAGAGACCAAATCCATGCACTTGAGAGGCAGCCACTGCTCTCAGGGGACTCAAAAGCAGAGACTACCACCAGCCTTGAGAGGAATTCTGCCTACAGCACGTTGAACACACCCACACACACAACCCCCTAAGCCCTCTGGTGAAACCAGTGGAGCCACTTGTTGATGACACTCCTCCTGCAAATTTTTCAGAGATACAAGAGAGGGATTTACTCCCTACTGATTCAGCAGATGGCCTCTCCATGCATTGTGTATCTACATTTTAGTAGGGTCCTTCAAAGATTACTTTCTAGCACTACAAAAATAACCTGTTACAGTAAAATATCTTTGTTCAAGTTGTTCCAGTAGGAAAACATTCTACTTGGAATTTCACCTGAATTCTCAGACAATATCAAGTGAACTCTCAAACATTTTGTTTTGAGGAAAAACCAAGACCATTACCCTTCTCCTGACAGCTCTTCAGCAAGCAAGATCTCACACATAAAGACAAAACCATGACCTAATGTATTTAATATAAATGTTTCCAAAACGAACTACACCATTTTTATGGGAAGATTCCTGTTCTAAATCACAGAATAAGGGCCACAGATTAAGTCTTGTAGAACAGGATCACACAGGTACAGGTAAGCACAAGAGCCCCCAGACTCACACACAGCATCCTCACTTGTTTTGCCTGCTTGCCAAACACTGATGGGAAGAATAAGCAGCAGCTCTCTGCTCTCTCTTCAAAGCTGGACCCACTGATGAAAAAGATTGCATCTGTTACTCCAGCAATGTTAAAGGGGTCACAGCTAACCACTAATGCTCAGCAACTGCACACACAGTTTGTACTTAAGGTTACTGAAGGCTCCATGATTAGAAAGGAATTTCTTGTTACTGTAGCTGATGTGCTCAAACGAGCAGGCAGGATCAGAACAGGGAAAAGGAAGCCAGTGGCTCAACCACAGGGGGTGAGCTGTTGGCTGCATCATAACTGCACTCAATCTGTCTGGTCTGTCACTTTTCAACCACCAGAAAGATTGGAAAAAATTAT